TAGTTGGGGTCAAAAGTAGAAAATTCTTTGATAAAGAAATTACTGTATGACTTAGAATTTTTATAAAAATAAATATTAACATTTATATACACTTTTTCTATAAGTATCTAAGTTTATGTTTTAATTTTCAAAATATTTTGGGTCTTTTGAGCTATTATAATAAACATTTTACATTTTTCACTGTTTATAGTTTTATTAGTTATGTTAACAGCATTTTTGTTTTTTGTAGATATATTTCAAAGTTGCATAAAAAGTTTGTTTTATTAAGTTATTCTTATAGCAGTTAAGAAAAATAAAAAATACATCATTCATAAATATTTTAACTTCAAATTTGATATTTAAAAAATATTAATGATTTTTGTTCATAATTTTAATTACATTTTTGTAATTCAAAATATATTTATCGTTGAGACTTAAAACTTTTTTTTCATTACGTATTGTTTTTATTTCTTATACCTACACAATACAATTGTCAACATTTTTTTACTAATTTTCAGATAATTATACCATGAACCTATTTAAGGTACATCATTCTACTACCAATCTCATCAGTATTAACTTATACTTATACATTCATATTAATAGTATATCGACATATTATTGTACATGATATAGTATACATAAAAAAATGAATTACTTATAGTAACATAAACACGTCTGTTTCCGCTCAGAATAGATTTCGTATCGCTGAACCTCAAATATTTAAAAAAAAAAAAATACCATTACAGTGACCTATTTAATGAAGAGGTAAGTATATGGTCTGTACTATTATACAGCCGAGTGAGTTCACCGGTTTTTTCATTTACACCTCCAGAAGACGCCTGATATACTAATGGAACAATACATTGATAGTGGCTATGTATTTTAAGTAATGTATTTATAACTTGCAAATATAATATAACCTAATTCCGATTTTTAAAAACACAATCTAAACGTATTTATGAAAAAATATTTAATCGTAAAATCTGTCATATCTAAGTAGAAATTATCGTTAAAAAATAACTGCATAATACGATCAAACATGAATAATTCATCTCTAGAAAGATAATCTCTCAATTCGCATGTAAAAATCCATTTCACCGGGGAGTCAAATTTATGGTAAACGTGTATCGCGAACCACATACGTTTTTTGATGTATGGCATATCGCATATGAAACACTGTCACGTATAGTCGTTATATAGGTATGGCTCATACCCATAAAACATGTATCGTGTACGTACCAATATATATAGGTACTTTATACATTTATATTTCAGATACCTACTGATTTTTTGAAATGTATTAAAAATGTAATCCGTGAGAGCCATATTATGTTGTAATATAACATACGAGAGTGCACCTCTAGGACGCGACTTGTTTACCAGCACAATGTATTTTCACTATATTTATAATTTTCTAGTATAGGTACGTGAAATAATAAAAAAAATTAAAATAAACCAAGGCACTCTCTATGTTGTATAGCAGGATAATAGTGTACCCGGGTATTAAATATAATTAATGAAATGGATGTGTTAAGCTTGAATTCAACTATAAATCAAAGACAAAACGATTCTGGTCATTGGAAATTGGGGATCAGCATTTATTTCTAAAGGTAGTCAATACTACAATACTGTATTTATAATTTTTATTAAAGTATATTAAACTAAGTTTTATAATAACGACGAACCACCGAGAGGTAGAATTGTAAGAATATATCAAACATGGTATAAATAGGTTAAAAATAATACATGAAAATATTTTTGGAAAATTTCATTCTATAGAGAACATGATAAAATAAATACTCGTAATATTGCAAAAAGTTTGTTGTTACGGTTAATATTTTTCGAATCACTGCAAAACAACAACAATTGTTTCAAAAAAACCGTTATTTTTCGTTTAAATATCTAAATTTATGAACATTTTAATTTAGAAGTCCAAACACTAATACATAAGGCACATACCGAAAAACGTAGCATGCTACTCGATATTTGCCTATTCGAAGAAAATGTATGAATCATAAAATATATGTATTAATAAGTAACCATTAATTGTATATACCTATACCTAGTGGGAATTGGGTAAGTTTTAAAAAATATCTATACCCAGCCCAAAAAAATATGTATATCAAAAAACACTAGTAAACACTAAACATGTATTTTCAATTTATTTTTGGTTGTTATCATATTATATCAAATGTCTATAATTTATGAATAACTCTAAAAAAGTCATAATATTTTAAAAATTATACCTAGTCTGGCAAACGGTAATATAAATGTGATTTAACTATTAGGCGAAAAATCACTACGACCATTCCTTTCTGAATAACAACAAAAAAACTTAATTGGTTTTGTGAAAAGCCGATGTCTCAGGCCCTGAAAATACTAACCATTTTTAACTGTTATTTATTTATTTTCCCAATTATTGAGAAAATTTCTGAAAATTCCTGCTTTGTCTCTCAAAGTAATACCAACTAGATCTAATTTTCTACCAGAAACCATCCTCAATGATGAAGATTGAAGCAAATTTACTGGTCTGAAATTATCTATAATCATGTTTTAATGTATGTGGGCGATATAATATAATACTGAGTGTAGAACGTAAAAAGGCCGCACCACCACCGCTAAGGCCTAAGTTCGTTTAAGTAAATCAGTGGTCACGGACCATCGGCTGAAGCGTAGGACTTGGCATTACGCTGCAGAGTATAATATTATAATTTTATTTTAGTTGGTTTCGCGTGTACTTGTAATTAATAAAAACTTATGCGGGGAAGATACGACTCTGAGTTCGGGCACACAGGTAAAATATGTGCAGTGTCACGAGTATACACATACCTATAGTATAAATGTTATATATTATTATCTATAATGTACGTATGTATACGCGATCGTTAATCGGCAACGTCGCACGCACCGAGCGTACATGTACGACTGCAACGGGGCGGGGGCGATATTTAAAAAAAAAAATTTGAACGCGTATACTCACGCGTCGTTGGCGGGGTCGAGGGGGTGAAAATATAAAAGATAAACGTGAAATAATAATAACGCGGACCACCACCCCCGTCGGACCGAGCGTACTGTACGATACGTGCGCGCGCAACGGCCGCGGTAGGCGGAGCGGACGTAGTGCGCACTCTCCGGGTCTGGACAAAAGGGCACGCTGCCTCTGCGCCCGGCTGTATACGTGCGCAAAAATCCGCTCCCCTAATCTATGTACGCCGACCGACCGACCGCCCTTCAGCGAGTACATATTATATATTATATATATATATATGTGCACAAGGTATGTGTGTGCGTAAATGTACGCCCCCACCCCCCTATACGCGATGACCATACATGCCGAGGCGGTGGCTCGATCGTCGCGCGCGTGGAGAAGGGTTTTATCAACAACCAAAATGGCACTACAATACATAATGGCTAATGCCAAACTTTACACCCCGCGCGAGTCCCCCTATCGCTACGTATATATATATATGTGACCTCTCGTCTGTACACACGCACATGCATACACATACATATATAATATATAGCCGGTGTGCGGGTGTGGTGGGGAGGAAATGCGTGGAGATCGAAAAAGGGAGGAAATTATACATACGGGGTAAACGAAATGCGCGACGCACAAAGTACCTCCGTTCGTATACATACACCCACACATACACTCACATTCATGTATGGAATTGCAGCAACCCATATCTGAATAATTTGATTGAATGATGAGTTTCGGGTCCTCTGGGTGTTGTTTATTGTGAAGGGCCCCGGCCGGACCCGGTCGTTAGAAATATGTGTTCGCGGCTGGACGGGAGCGAGGGGGGAATTGGCTTCACTGAAAAATATCGCCAAAACTATATTAATACGCTCAGGCACAAGCTCTGTTCTAATAATTAATAATATTTCCCATCCCCCCAAAGCCATTAGAATTTCTCGATAATATAATATTGTTGTTTTCCCTACACCAAACGCACGCCACACACAATACGACGCGTATATATAATAATATTATTATATATAATTAGCAAAAATACGCCATAAAACGCACGGGCGTCGGCCAATATTTGCAACTGCTGCGCTTCGTGTTATCTTTAAATTGATCGTGACCATAGGGCACCACGAGCTATAGATGGGGTAAGGTTATAGAGGTCATAGAGGCATCGAGGCTAGGTTAAACAGTTATTACAGCGATATTTTATTATATTTTATCTACTGCAGTATGCCAGTTGTAGGTAAATAACGTATTTACTATATAATATAGCTTTATTGCAGGTACTGAACCATTTTTTTCGACGGTTTTTATTTGCGAAGAATCAATGCGCACTTTAAATAGATCATCTATATCACTATTTACTACAAAAGTCTTTGATTTGTATACAAAATAAAAATATATTACAAAATAGTTGTGTCGAGGTCATAATGTTTTGCAAATTATAAAAATATGTTTCTACTTTCAGACTTATTAACCGTTTTTATTTAATTTAGCTAAAATTAATTTTAAACGATAAATATTATACAAATACGGTGTATTATATAATATAATAATAACTGTATAGTATTAGACAAGAGTTAATAAACAATACAATTTCGTTGCACCTATATATATGTTACGGTCAAAGTGTATAAACGGGCATTATAATACAGTGCCCGGACAATGTGTACAATGCCCAATTTCAATGGACAATGTGGAAAATTATACACTTTGTCCGGGCATTGTACAGAATGACCAAAGCACAGTGGGCAATTACAATTAATTAATTAGAAAATTTATAAAACAATTTTTATTATCTTAATAATTTATAATAATTTATTTTATGAATATTAACAAATTTTTTTTATTTATTATGGCAACTTAAGCTATCGTGACATTTAGAAGTACATAGTCTACCTGCAGCCCTACACTTACATTTATTTGTCTTGCATTGCTGTTTACAGTTACACCGGTCATATCCTTGACCGCCAAGATTAGAAAATTTTCTAGCTGCTTCTCTTAATGATATCGGAGGTGTTGTTGGTACTGTTTCAATCTGGACAAATTACTCTTTGCATATTTCAAATTGATTTCTAGCATAAAGTTGTTGAAGTTTACCTTCAGTGGTACCAATTTCATAATTATTGTTTTTTACTGAAAAAAAATCAGGTTTTAGTTATAACATGATAAAAAATAAAAATATACCTATAGGTATAATTCATTATAAAAATTACCAGACATAATGACTCCTAAAATGGATCGCAGATCACTCCGTGCTTTATCAACATCAGGTATTCTAATTTTAACGCTTTCGCCAATTTTGCCTTCACGAAGTCGATTTTCTGAGTTAGTCTTCATTTTTGAAGCTTGAACATTCAAATTATGCAACGATTCTCTTCTTTTTTTTCTATCGTTTCCTTTCTTGATTGTATAATATCAGCTGGTTCTTCGTCAATATCAATATTTTCTTCAGAAGACGTATCAATAGATTTTTTTTCAATGTGTTTCTCAGCATTTATTTCATATGTGGTATTTATAGAATTCAGTGCAGTTTCTAAATCTTCATCAGATTTGAGTTTATGTATGATACTTTCTGGTAGAGAAGTAGATTTCAGGCCTATTTTTGCACGTGTACCAAACATAGCCTCATAAGGAGAACACTTAATTCCGTGATGTAAACTTCTATTTTTCATAAACTGAACGAATTTAAGTCCCTCGCTCCATTTATTAGTTTTGTTATCTGTTAACCAGGTGGCAAGCATATTTTCTACGTCCTGGTTAGCCCTTTCAACGGAGCCCTGGCTTTGTGAATGCCGTGGCTTTCCATGTACGATTTTCAGTTCTTCCCACATACTACATAACTCTTCAATAACCTTGTTAACAAATTCTCTACCATTATCACTTTGTAAGATACACGGAGCTCCAAATGTAGTAAAAATATCAAGTAATATATAGGCAACTTCCTCTGCACGTTTGTGTGTTAATGGTTTAAGTAAAACATACTTCGTTAAGTGATCTTGGTAAACTAAAATAAATCGATAATTTCCATCAGGTTGAGCTTGCATGTCAATCAAATCTACTTGACAACGAGAATTCATTTCTGAAGAAATTATTGGTTTAACAACTAGCCCTTTTTTCACAGTTTTACCTTTTCTCTGACACAATTCACATAGATTTAAATATATCATTAAACATTCCCTAGTAATGTTTTTATATTTTGCGTTCAGTTCATGTTCCATCCGGTTTCTACCTCCATGTCCAGTTTGCAAATGGACGTCATGAATTATGTTATACAACTCTTCATTATAAACATAATATTTGATAGTATTTGGATCAGTTACCGGAACAATTAATTTATCAATATTACTTACATTCATTATATCATAGCGCTTCAATAATTTATAATCATTTGGTTTTAATTTTGCTCCACTTTTTAACCGTTTGACTTCTGTTAATACTTGGTTATATTTTACTTTGCTTAAAAATACATTATTCGAATTTTTTTCACTCAGAAGAGTATTAAATTTTTCATAAAATTTTAAATCAACCATTTTAAATACTAAGAAAAATAAAAGTTTTAAGAAAATTCAAAATAATAATAATATGTGTTTAAACACAACCAATCCGTTAAATGATGTTATTACAACTGATCGGAAATTCTATATTATATCTCCGGTATAGATTGTCGTTGGTATAACCTCTGATAAAATTATCATGCAGCAATAAGCTATTAATTATTATCCTTACTATATTATTACAGATATCGAAACCACATATGGGTACAGTATCGGCTATTGCCGGTTAAAATACCTACAGTCATCAGTTAGATACCATCGTAGAGGGAATGTAATTGATAATCGTTATCGTTTTAAATCGCAATAAACTTACATTGCCCACAGACAATTAAGCACTGTACACAATGCCCGGCTTTTGTATTACAATGCCCGGGCGAAGTAACCAAATTAAAATCAGATTCAACTTTGCCCAAATATGACGAGCATTGTGCACAATGCCCGGGCACTGTATTACAATGCCCGATTTATACACTTTGACCGTAACATATATATTATATGTATATTAGATTTAAATTTCATAATATAATAATATTAATTTAAAATAATATCGACTGCAGTGGTCCCTGTTTATTTACGAGATAAAATTATGTGTCTAACAAAATTAAGTACCCATAATGCTATTTTAACTCTCGAGTGATATAAATCATTAAATGTATTTATTTATTAAAATTTATAGAAGGTACTTATTAACAAAGTTTATATTTAAATTATAATTTAAAATGTTTTTCGATGCATTCATCAAACAAAATACTTTTTTTTTCATTAAAAACGTAAAATAAAAATGAACAGAGGTGGGTATAATAAATTAATATTATCAGTAATGGACATGTCAAGAACAGCCGGCTAAATTATTATAATACAGAAAATACATTGTAATCGATACATTTTAAAACCAAGACAAATATGTATTTGTTCGTTAATAATGATAATATATCAATTATTATTTCTAATTTATATGTACCGTATAAACATATAATATATTATATGATGTGTATAAATAACTATAATTTATTTTGAAAACTCCCTTGTCAAAAGCGAAATAATAATAATAATATATGTTGCTGTGCATGACACTTTTAATACTGCCTGAAAAACAAACAGTCGCCGTACTAGAAGTACTCAAGTGTCTACCTAAAATTACACATTTACGATAAATTAATTAAAAATATAACGTTACAATGTGCAGTTTGTCGTGTGTGGAAAATGACATTTCGAATAATCGAAATAATTTCGCCTATTGGGATGCTCATAGTTTTGTAGAAAATAAATAGGAAATATTGTTTTTTTTTAAGTTGTTCGTCAGCCATTCAGCTGAGATAAAATAAAATAGCTTTAATTAAATAATAGTACAACCTAATACTACATAATACAACATTGTACTACATGATATACTTGCATATTATTATAATATTATTTTCAAAGTGTTCTAACTTTCTAAGAAACGTTTGTTTAACCATACTATATATTGTTCTTAATTATTACTAGGGTCAGTCGTTGCGTGTCAGAGTTGTATAAAACGCCATCGCCGGAATGTTGTGGTTTTTGTTTTTTGCATAGACTGCAGTGCACTTGTTTCAATTTTTGATTGTCTACAACAGTCCACGCATCACCAGTATATGAATACGTTTCAATTATAAGTCGAATTATCGTTCCTTTCGCTTTTTGCACAATAATTTTCATTGTTCACAATTCACAAACTACTTTAATCACAATTATTGCTTGATATACACTAAAATTGTTCAAAATACTTCTGTAGGCATATTACAGTAATTTGCGGAAGCATTGTAATCGTTTGGATTTTTTGTTTTGTTTATTCTTATGGATGATAATTAATCTGAAAACTGACTAATGCTACTGAATTAATTATTGAATAAATTAACAAAAAATGTAAAGTATTCCGAAGGAATGTGTACCTATTAGGTGACATGAGATTTTTTAATAGTTTTAAAAAGGATTTAGGATGATGTGATTGAGTGAATCATTATTTTCGCTAAAAGTATATTATTTTGGTTAACTTAAATTAATAAAATGCAATTCATGTACTCAAAACGATATTGGCAAAAACATCCGTAGAAATCATTTTCAAAATTATATAATATATTATGTGCACTTAGTTCTAAAATATATTATCATTCATCAGTAATAATTATTATTATCACGGATAATTTATAGATATTTTGACACTTTTATACAAACTACCTATACACATATATTTTGGGTTTAAATGTATATTTATTATAATATTCTTAACGGCGAATCGCGTTAAATAAATTAGATATAACGTTGATGATTATATAATGAAAAGTAATTTAAAGATATGGGTCCGGGAGTGGATGGGATGAGGGAGTGGTTTAATCCACTCTCACAGGTGTTGTCTCAGGTTCTGCATGCAGCACACAGCTGGTACAGCAGCCGCTCGTTATCTTGTAAGAATAAGAGTTGAGTAAGGTTAGGGTCTCTCCGGTCCACGGCACAGAGTCTACGGTACATACGATAACCACGGAGATTTTTGGACAATGTTTTTTCGCAGCTGGGTCTATATGGTAGCAGTAAGGAGTAGCTATCTTAATAAATTCACCTCTGAGGGTTAGGTCTGATATACGCACTATTTGTAAGCTTACTTTTCAAACGTTTAATTTGATTATATTATACAAAAATAAGTATTATGTATTATGTAAAATGTAGGTAAATTTAACGTATATTGCAATTATAATTTTGGAAATCAATATAGGTATCTCTCGTGAAGTATAACATGCAGTGGTTGTAGGTTACCTACTGAATACAATTTTTTTGTTAGTTATATGGGCCCTAAATAATAATACGTTTTAATATAAAACTTGTACAAATATTTTGTCACTCCTGCACTGTAAGTTTAATTTTGGATGTCCGTTAGAGCGTTGGAAAATTACTTTTTTCCGTCCATTTAACACTTTTTTCTGACCAATGGCCAAAATACTTGTTTTTTAATACTAAATTATTTTTCAAAACATCATAAACTCGTAGAAATTGTTTAGCATTTAGGTAATATTTATTTTTACCCGGCTAGGTATTAATTCTTAATTATATCATAGTTATAGCTGAATAGCAGTCTAACAAATACAAAATTCGAATATAGTGCTATAGTGGCGCAAAATTATTATTGTTGAACATCACCCGACGTATAGGATCAGACGGCAACCGCAGAAACACAACCGATTGATTATTGAACAGTAGTATCCAAAATAAACATAGAATTAAATATAAAACGCATTATCGCGACCCTATAATATAGACTGATTCGTGTATATGTATTATAATTTATAAGTTAATTACAATTTAAAACTAATGTGCTCTGAAAATTATGTTGAAATTATCATAAATTACTATGAGACTTTAAAATACTCTAATGATATATTGGAAATTATAATTAGGTAAATTTGATAGTCTGCCTTAAATGTATTCTTCGAAGAATAACAATGATTTAAATCATTTTAATTTCATGAACTATAGTAATTTTGAGTATAAAGCTAAATCAAAACTATGTAATTATATCATAATAATTAATAATTTTCTACAAAACACAATTTTGAACTAATTGGTTTTGATATTGAACATGCTCAAATCAGCAACCACCGAACAAAATTTGTTTGGGCACTTTAAAGTTTAAACTGAAAATTGTTCTACCAATTTAATTTAAAAGTACCTTTTATAGTACCTACTATATATAGTTTATACAGATAAAATATATGATAAAATTATATAATATTTTAGATTCTGAGTGAATGTATTGATTTTACAATGATGTGTGTTATTTTTATTTTTTTATTGTGGGTTTCTCATCACCTCTTGGGACAGTACAAAATTCTTCAATTTTCTTCAACAGTATCTTTTTTGGCAGGAAAGTGAATCTATTTGGTACTTTACGTGTTTTTTCAGCTTTACTCTTAAAAAAGGACAGAATACAGATGGCATTTTCACTGAATGTTAATATTAGCAAATTCTATGTACCATAACATTTTCAAAATATTGCTCTAAAATTTCAAGTTTTATTAGTTTTTTTTTAAATTATTGTCGATACAAAATTTTTTGGTTGGTCAAAAACATGAAAATGTAATACAAAGTTTCTCATGTTAGTAAAAATTAAAAAAAACCTGAGCGTAAAGCCATAGTAATTTTTTATGAGCGTTTTTTAAGAAAATTCCTAAAAATTACGAAATATGGCAAATTGCTTTGAGTTAGAAACTAATAAAAGATTTTCTATTTATATCTATGTTTTGGAAATTTAATATAAGACTCCCCTTAAGTTTTCCTACATTAACCAATAAAAAGAAGTTTACCGGTAAGTCAAATAAATTTTTTACTAGTTTTTGAAGCTAGTCATTGGATATTCACCCGTAAATTAACAAATCTCGTACAACGGTTTTCTTAATTTTTCGTTTTTCAAAAACTAATAACCTTAGGTACTTGAAATTTTCATCAAAGGTTTATTTTATCACTGTGTATCCATGATTTTTTTTCAAAGTTTAAATGTTGACGACATTTATCAAAATCTAGAAAATTATCAATTATTGTAATTAAAAATTATAAAACATTCAATTTTTATAGCTTAGGATTGAAAATTTAAAACAAAGATTCTTATAAATAGTTCATACTGTAACCAAAAAATCTAAAAAAATAAATAAACACAACAGTTTTAGTTATTTTTCTGTAATTTAAACATTTTATTCATGTACCTATACGAAATGGTATATTCAGGTATATGTGTTTAAGAGTAAATTGCTATATTTTATACACAAAGTGACATTTTTATATGTAATTTTTTTGGCAAAACTGAATTTAACTAAGCTGTTGTATTTATGCCTAATAGTAAGATAAATTACTTTAATAATCACAAAGTATGACATCAAATATACTTGGTTACATTATATGCTGACAGACCGTCTTCCCTCAGAATCGTTTTTCGTATACAATGATTTTAAATCATTGAATTCAAATTT